GCCAGCCACCCGCCCACCCCGCCCCACACAGCGCCACCACAGCCTCCGCCGCCGCCGCAGCCTGGGAGTCTCACCAGATGTCCCACTCCTGGGCAATGGGGCGGTACCCGTATCGGTTGGGACGCCGTAGCGAGCGCTGGTACCGCTCAATCCTTCCGGCGGCCTCGTCCAGCCCCCGCCTGCGCAGCCCCGCAAGCAGGCGGCTGGGGTCCCGCTCGGGCCGCCGCTGGGCTGGCTCCGCTGAGCTGGCACCAGCCGGCGGCGGTCCAAAGCTGCTGTCAGGGGCAGCGGGGCCGTCGGCGGCGCTCATCTGCTGCTGGGGCGGCGCTTGAGTGGGTGCATCCGGCCCAACGCCCGGACCGCCGCCTGAGGCTGCCGCGGTGGCGTCCGCGGCATCTGCAGGGCTCTCGTCAGCAGCCGTGACATCCGCAACCGCCGCGGCGCCAGCAGCGCCTGCCTCCCCGCTGCTGCTGACTGCCCCGCCGCCGCCGCCGGCCTGCCTGCTCTCCGAGTCCTCCTCCTGCTTCGCCTCCTGCTCCTCAACCTCTGCCTCCTCCACCTCTCCCTCCTCCTCCTCCTCCTTTGCTTCCTCCTCCTCCTCCACCACCACCACCACCACATCAGCCACGCCTAGCGCCTTGGCCGAGCCGCTGCGGACCGCGCCGTAGGCGGCCAGCACAGGGTTGTTCTCCAGGCAGGGCATGAGGGCCAGGTGCAGGCGGGTCAGCCCCTGGTTGCTCCGGCCCTTGGACAGAAGCTTGAAGCCCGCTGCCACTCTGCACACAGTGGCACAACATACACTCAGGTGCTGGGGCAGACGGGCATGGGTGGGGACGCAGCAAGGCTTGGGGATGCCAGGAGGAGCAACGGCAGGGATAAATTGGAGGCAGGGAGGGGGCGAGGGCCGCCATCGCACCAGGTACCTCTCCGCTGGCGGCGCGGCAGCGGCAGCAACACGCCCGGGTGGCAACAGCAACAGCACTGCGACAGCACAGCAACAGCACGGCAACAAGCGCGGCTGGCAGCCAGCCCTGGGGCCCTTCCTCGCCGCACCGTGAGGCGCCCGGCCTGGACATGCCACCCTTGCAGCATAGACTGCCGCCGGGCACGGCCCTGCCCCCGGCGACGGGCCGGCAGGAGCAGGCGCGCACCATACGCTGCCGCCGGGCCCTGCCCTGCCCCCTGGAATGGCGCACCTCTTGGCGCTGGCAAAGGCGCCAGGGTCCTCCCTGTGGAGCGTAGCCTGCCAGCCGGGGTCGCCCAGCATGCTCAGCGCGGCGCCCATGAACGCTGTATGCCAAGCCAGGCAGTGGGAAGGCCGCGGGTGGCAGGCAGGCAGGCAGGCAGGCGTGAGAAGGCACACGTCAACATGGCAGCTCTGCGGCAACACAGCCGGGCCATGCAGCATGCACACGCACACACACGCGCGCACACAAATACATACGCAGACACGCTGGCAGACACAGACGCACATGGCTGCCAGCGGCCCGGCAGCGGGGGGTAGCGGGGCGCCCGAGCCAGGATCACAGGCGCAGCCTCAGCTCCCAGTAGAGTGCTGCCCTCACGCATGGAGCAGGGCACGCATGCAGCAGGGATCAGCACCCTGGCTCACCCCCATGCCCGTAGGAGTGCAGGTGCAGCGGCAGCGGCACCAGCGGCAGCTCCAGAGTCAGCCCCTGCTGCACCGCATCCGCCAGAGGCTGCCCCCCCCGTCGCTGCTCCCAGCGCTGGCGCCACACCCCGACGTGCTCGTCGCGAGGGCCCGCCCCCAGCCCCGCCTCCCCACGCTCCTCATCCGCTGCTGCTGCTGCGCCGGCGGTCCGCTCGACCGGCCGCTGCCAGGACAGGAGGCGGATGAAGGTCCGGCTGGCCCGGAGGCTGCGTGCGGCCGCCAGGGAGGCCCCCGCGCCGGCAGCCTGCTCCCTGTGGAGCAGCGAGGAGGCCGGGTGCTGCAGCACGCGGTAGCTGAGCTTCAGGCTGACGGCGGCGGCACGCAGAGGGGGCGCGCTGGCGCTGTGCTCGGGTGCATGCTGCCGCTGCTGCTGCTGCTGCGAAGCAGCAGGGGGAGGGGGAGGCTGCACTCCAGCCTGCTGGCCCGACTCCGCAGGCTCGCCGATGCTGCCGACGACATGGGCCGCTACTGCCATCTCTATCGCCGCTTCCCTGCCGCCGCCGCCGCCATCGCGCGCCGCGGCTGCTGCATCCCGCCCCGGCGGCTGTTCGTGCGCCTGCTGCTGCTGTTCCTGCACTGCTGACGCAGCATCGCCTGGTTGCGACCCGTGCCATCCGCGGCGGCGTGCCAGCAGCGCCGCCTCCACCGCTGCATTGAGCTCCGCGTCGTCGCCGCCACCGCCGTCGGGCCCGCCTGGGCGCTGCCGCGCCTCCCACTCATCCCCGGCCCTTGCGGCGCCCTCCAGGGCGCTCTCCACCGCGTGCGCCAGCCTGCCGGTCTTGCCGTCCTGGAGCTGCAGCGTCACGTGGTGCCAGCCGTGCGGGTCTGCCTGCGGCGCGGCGGCGCCGCCGCCCGGCGCCAGCGCCGGTAGCGGCAGCACACCGTGCGCGCTGACTGTGCCGCTGGAACATTGTGCCAGCCCGCTGGCGCTCTGGTCGTGCACCTGTATGAGCAAGCAGGGGAGCAGGCGCGGGGGAGCATCCGGGTGCAGGGGCATCAGAGAGCGGCCTGCTGGGGCTGCAAGCGCAGGGGCTGGCACACACGCAGGCAGGCGGCAGCAGGGCGGCAGGTCACTCTGCGCCGGCTCACCCGCAGCCCGAGCTGCGCCGCTGCCAGCTGCACCGCAGCCCAGGATCCCAGGTAAGCAGTAGAGCCGTGGCTGGCGGCAGGCGCGGTCGTCCATTTGGTGCCGCCGCCCAGGTGCACCTGCGGTAGCGGGCAAAGCGGCCGTCGGCGCCGCCGGTTGCCACTAGCAGGCTGCCGGCAATCCGTGCGTACTCAGCGCTGCTGCCATGGCAGGATGCGCTCACTGGCCGCTCCAACGGTTGACGAAGGCCGAGAAACAAGGCAAGTGTGTTTCACAGGGACCGCCGCAACGGAATATAAACCCACAGCCCAACGCACCTCCACCACCACTACGGTGCCCGCAGCGGGAAGCCCTAGCGCTGCGTGCAAGCGCAGCTCGATCGTCTTGTGCTGCATCCTTCCGTCAACCCATTGCCGCCGCTGAGCTCCCCTTTGGCATCTACAAGCATCAAGCAGCCACACGCGACATCGTGTTGACTACCGTAGAGGCTGATGTGGGCACAGCAGGCGCGCCGTGCCGCTTCCGCTTTGAGCAGCGCCGCCGCTGCTGTCATCCCTCGCTGATCGACGCAGCTGGGGACATCTGACAGCCACCCCTTCTTAACTCTGGTCAGCAGCAAGTGGGACCTGTGTCCTTCAGCATGGTGGGATGCCGTGCTTGCAGAACCATTGGACCTGTCTGGGGGGCGGCCGGAGTTCCCGCCGTCGTCGCCGCTGCCAGTTCCCCGTTTATTTTGTTACAGTTCCCAGTGATGCCGATATCAAGCTTGGATCCATACAGGTGCGTGGTCAAGATGACCAGAAAAGCAATGGGCTAGCAGCAACGGGTCAGCGGTCAACATGCAGGGCAGGCCCAACACGGCGCTGGCGCAGCGGCTGCTTTCAAGGTGAGGGGCAGGTGCAGACAATGGCAACAAAAGGCTGGATACAGACCAGAGCGGCGACGATGTTGCATATATGGGTAGGACGAGATCGAGTCAGAGTTTTATTGTCTTGTTGGGGGCAGGCAGAGGCTAAAGGCAGCCATGTGGCACGGTTTCATGTGGAGGGTCCTCAGCGGTGGTGGGCAGATGCAGGGCAAGTGTTGAGATATTGATTATGGGGCAAAGCGGGATGCGGTGGAGACTTTGAAAGATTAGACTGAGTGGGATTCAGGTTTGGGTTGTCTGATGGGCAGCATGGCGGTGGCCCCTCCCAGCGCTGGCGACGGTCGCGACAAAGTTGCGCATCGGTGTGGTGGGGATCAGGAAGCTGCGGCAGGAACGACGGCAGGCACGCACCGCACAATGAGGCGGGTATGTGCTCGGACCATTGCGATGTGGTAGCGTGCACACACGTGGATGGACAGATGTCGAGGAAAAATGATTGCATGAAAGGGAAAAGGTTATGTGGCGGCCTTCCCACAGATGGGGGCCACATCCCCAGCGAGGCAGCGGCAGCAGCCGGTGAAAACAGCGGGCGCCGCGCGTGCCGTCACACGCCAGGTGTCAGGTTCACGAGGTCTTTGAAAATATTCATGAAATCAAAGGGCTTGGCTTGAGGAAAAGTTATGGTTGGCCAGCGCTAGTCCAATGGGTGTTGCTCCAACACTGTGATGTGCTTGATACAGTAGCGCCATGTGTGGGCTGGGTAGTTGTCGTCGCGCATGAGCCTGTCAGGAAGATGTGGCTGGGGCAGCACACCTGGGCCTGGCTGCACAAGGCCGCAACAGACAGACGGGCGGAGGCGGCCCCGAGCAGCAGCTCTTTGCCATGCTGCCCTATTGCCAGCAGGATCCCCCCCTGTGCTGCAAGTAGAGCTGGCGGCCCTGCAGCAGGGAGGCGGAAAGGGCGGCGAAGCCGCAGTGGCAGGTGTGAGGCGGCAGTCGCTCCCTGGAGCGGCGACCAGCAGGGCAGGTGTGCCAGGCGGCATCCACAGATGCTGGGCTCATGCTTGAGGCCCAGCATGCATAGCAGGCTGCGCCGTCCCAGGAACCGCCGCCGCCGCCACCGACACATTCGCCACAGCAGTTTCACCCCCACAGCGGCGGGTTAGCCCGCCCACCTTCCAAGCCTCCTCCACCATCTCCTGGCACTCTGCCTCCAGCCCCTGCAGCCGAAAACAGTGAAGGCGGCATATGTGGCACGATGCCTTGCTGTACTCAGGGCCAAGGGTGTGGATGCGCATGGCATGCCAGGCCTGGGCATGAGGCCAAGGGCCGGCAGTCAGACGGTGCAACCCGCGGGGCGCTGCCGCCGCCGCCAGCCCCGCAGGCGGCGGTGTGTGCCTCAGGCGAGCAGGCGTGGCGTGGTGCCAGCATGGGGCAGCCGGAGAGACACCTGCAGCTGCATGATCGCCACGATGGACATCATCTTGTCCCGCCCAAACACCTGCGGCACAGGGAGCGGCACCGCCAGCGGTACATCAGCGGTACAGCCTGAGCTGGCAAGCAAGGCCGTCAGCCCGGCTGGCGCCGCTCTGGTGGCAGGACCTGCGGCAGCCTGCAGGCAGTGCTCCGCGAGCAGCCCCCTGCCTGCCCTGCTGCCCTCTGCTCGCGCGGTGGTCACCAAACAGCCGCACCGCCGCCACGTCACCACCACCCACCGACGTCGCAACAAGCACACATGCGCCGTGCATGCGCAGATGCGTCACCAGGAGCGGTCCGCCGCCGCACCTGGCCGATGCCCTTGCGGGAGAGGGCAAACACCACCGGCACGCCGTGCAGCGCAGCGTCGTGCAGGATGCGCTGCAAGGCGCGCACGGGGTTGATGTGGGCGGTGGAAGAGACACAAATGTCTGGCGCCACGATGAGGCACTGGGCGGAGGCCACCACCTTGCCAACCTGCAAGGCGCAGGGGAGGAGGCGGGGCAGCAGAGGATTCAGGGTTGGGCAGATGGGACAGCAGGAAGGGTGGGGCGTGGGGCTCAGAGCGCCACATGTGGCGCTCTGCACAGTGGATGAGCCACAGCGGATAAGCCACAGTGGATGAGCGGTGACGCTCCTGGGCATTGCGCGGTGGTCGTGGCGGGCAGCAGCAAGCTGGGTGGTCAGCACAGCAGCAGGCAGCTGGAGACGGGAGCAGGGGCAGTGCAGGGCGCTGGCCGCGACAAGAGCCAGCGGCCCTGCGGGCGCCGCCACTGCCGCCGTGGCATGGCTGGGAGCCTGCAGGCGTGGCTGCTCACCTCCTTGAGAGAGCAATAGTAGCGGCGGCCCAGCAGCTTATAGGCCTGAGGCTCGTCGCCGAGCTGCAGCACAGGCGGCGGGGAGGTCGGGAGCCTCAGAAAAGGGATGTACCGTGGGGAGGGGCCACACGTGGTGTCTGCTGCAGCAGCAGCGTGCAGCAGCGCCGTCGCGGCAGGCGGCGGCGAGGGGCGCGGCCGGCAGAGGAGCTGGGAGCGGCGGCCGAGCACACTCGGCGCTGGGGCGGGCGCGAGCACCCCCACCTGGAGAAGCTTCAGCGCCGCCAGAGCGCTGGTGGCAAGCGTGTTGATCCTCTCGCTGATGATCTGCAGGCAGGCAGGCAGGCAGGCAGGCAGGCAGGCAGGCAGGCGGCGGGATGGAGGGGAGGGGCTGGGGAGATGCAGGGTGGCAGGCGCCTGTCGGGCAGCAGGGCACAGGAAGCATCGGGGGCAAATGTTGGAGCAAGGGAGGCAAGCGGCACGCCAGGCGGCTGCGACAGCAGGCAGCTCCCTCCTTGCAGTACGAGAATCCACCTGCTGGCAGTACGGCTGGTACCGCCCCTCCAGGCCCACCAGGCACTCTGGCGGCTCCACCTCAGCGGCCGCATGGTGCGACATGGAAGCTGCCTGCAGTGCGGCGTCGGGGGCGGACACCGCAGGGTTATTTTGCACCTTCAGTGCCAAGCACTTGGCGGGAATGGAGGAGAGCAGCAGGGTGGCAGCAAGCCATGCAGAGGGCAGCAGCTGGTGGGGGAGAGAGTGGGTTGGGAGTGGTGGGCCGGAGCCGGCCAGGCGGCGCTTGTCAGGGCGAGCAGCCTTGCCGGCCGGCAGGCAAAGCAGAGCATGCACAGCACGCCGCGGGGCGACAGGCCGGTCACCACGAGGCTGGGCTTGCCTGCGCGGTGTGGGCGAGGTGCCACAGCCTGGATACGGCGCCGCCCTGCGGCACCTGGCCGGCAAAGGGCGGCAGCTGCCGCTGCGCCGCCGCCGCCACCTGCTGCAGCAGCGCCTGAAGGTGCAGCCGGTCGCCAGCGGCCAGCGCCGAGGCGGCAGACGCCCATGCACCCCCCTGCTGGTGCTGGTGCTGGTGCTGGTGCTGGTGCTGGTGCTGGTGCTGGGTTGCCTGCAGGGGTGCGGCGCCGCCGTGGGGCTGGCACAGCCCGGGCACTGCCCAACCGTGCTGCACCGCGTATAGCATCGCCAGAGAGGGATGCAGCAGGGAGGCGGGCGGCGCCAGCTGGCAGGAGGAGCTGCCATAGTCGGAAGCAGCGGCGCCCGCCACACCCAGGCCAGCCAGGCCGCCGGAAGCGGGGGTCGAGTGGGGAGCAGCGGCCGCGGCGGCCGCGTTGCCGCCCCCCAGCCCCCAGCCGCCGCCCGCCGCCGCCGCTGCCGCCTGCTGCTGCTGCTGCAGCAGCAGCGCCGCCACGTCCAGTGGCAGCTGCTGCGCGTCCGCGGCCGCCGACAGTGCGGCCAGGTTGTTGTGGGAGGCAGAGGCGGAGGCAGAGGCTGAGGCAGAGGCGCCCTTGGTGCTGGAGGAACGGGGGGTGTAGTCCGGGCTGGAGTAGTCTCCCAGGGACGAGCAGCACGCCAAGGGGTCCCCGTGGTGGTGGGCCCCGGGCTGCGGCGTGGGCGGCAGGCTGCCTGCCGCCGCCTCATCAAGCTCTCCCGACAGCCGCAGCTGCTGCAGCAGCTCCGCCAGGGTGGCGGCGTCGGGCCCCGCCGGCTGCCCGCCGCAAGGGTGAGCTGGGCAGGGCGCCGCGGACGCGCTCAGCAGCCCGGCCGCCTGGGAGCAGGAGGCGCCGTGCCTGCAGGGGGTGGGCACAGGGGGCAGGTGGGGGCGGCTGGGGTAGACGGCAGGCGGCGGCAGAGATGCCGGGCAGCCGGTTTGAGCGGGCGCCTGCACGGTTTTGACCCGGAGGGCACGCAGAGCAGTGGCAGCGGCAGCAGCAGTAGAAGTGGCAGCGGCAGCAGCGCGAGCCGGCGCCAGCGTGGCAGCCGGTGAGCAGGCATGAGCAGCGGGGTCCCGCACCCATCGAGCAACCCCGGCAGGTCCAGAGCAAACAGGGCGCTGCTGTTGAGGCACTCCTCGTAGGCCGAGGGGGCGGGAAAGGCGAGGGCGGGGTGCTGGGAGGGCGGTGATGGCGCTGCGCCTGCAAGCGGGCGGGGCAGGGGTGGGTGGCACAGCTGCTGGTGCCCTCAGGCGACGGGGCAGCGGCGGCGGGGCAGTGCCGCAGGCAAGGCGCCGAGAGGTCGGGGGGCGACAGGGGAAGGGGGGACCCCGGCTGGGCTGGAGGCAGGACCTGGAGAGATGCAGGCGAGCGGGCAGGCGTGGGGCGCCGGTGCCGGCCAGCGGCGGAGCAGCAGAGCCACCTCGCCGGCGGTGGCAGGGCCGGGACCGAGCGGCGCGATGAGGAGGGAATCGCAGAGCGGGCGCTCACCCGCGCTCGATTCCTCGGCGCCAGCAGCCCTGTGCGCAAGGGCGCTGGCCTGCTTGGCGTGCGCCATCACTGTGGCGGCGTCCAGCGCAGGGTATACGATGCCAGGCGGGTGGGGCAGGCCCTGCATGCAAAGGGGGCGGAAGCGGGCGTGGGGGCGGCAGGGCTAAGTTGCTGGGCAGGGCCGTGCACGAGCAGCTGCTGCAAGTGCATCCCCGACGCAGCATTTTGAGCGCGACGGGAGGCCCCGAGGAGCTCGGTTGGGAGGCGGTCAGCAGGGCAATGCTGAGGGGGCCATCGCACTCGCGGCGCGCCCTGCAGGCTTCCCCCCTGATCATCAGAGCCAGGGGAGCCAGGGCGGCCGGTGTGCAGCGGCGGTGCACAACTGGTCCTCCTCTTCCACACCGATTCAAGGTGGCCTCGCCCGCCTGCGCAGCTCGGCGGGCCTACCTGCGCCTCTTGCATGCTCTGAATAGGCCGTGTGGTTACTTCGGGGGCCTAACAGTGCAAGGGACGGGCGCAGTGGAACGGTTGCGCACTGAACGCGCGTTATCTTGCACGAGAGCGGGACGTGGACTGTTCCTGAACAATGAAACACCGACAGGACACTGGACTTAGCGCCTTGAGTCATGTGGTCAAGCGAGGCCAGAGGTCCTCGCTGCTGTGCTGGCACACGAGGGCAGCAGATCGGTGTCCGACCATCAACCTGCGGCTGCGAGCTCGAGGCCATAGATCAAGTCTATGTGTGGATGGGGCTCTGCCAGCGCTGGCACGCGGGCTAGCCCCGTCCACCGCCCTCAGGGCAGGCTGCCCGCTGGCGTTGCCGCTTGTTGACCCCTCGCCTTCCGCCTCTTGCGCTTGCCACCTGGCACATCCAGGCACTCAGCATGGACATGGTTTTTCTTGCACCAAGCTAGACGCGGGCAGCATGACGGGCGGGCAGCGGGGCCAGGGCGGCACACACCGGCGGGCGTGGGCTGGGTGCAGCGCCGGCATCAGCTGCCGCTGCCGAATGCACAGCGCCTCCCTCATGAACTGCAGCAGGAGCTAGGTGCTGGGGCCAGGTCGCCGGCCGCTATTGGTTCCCTCCGGCAGCAGCAGGTTGGGGAGCCGACACCCGCTGGCGGACTTGAAGCGGCAGCGGGGGCAGGCAGCGGGGGCCAGGCAGCGCATTCAGCCTGGAATCCATCATCCCCTGGCCATTTGGAGATAGTGGTGCAGGTGCACAGAGCGCGGAAACACACCGGTCGTGACGTCCAATCCTGAGCATACCTGCCAGAGCAGGGGCAGCTGCCCTTCCAATTTCCCGAGGGCTTGGTCGAGGAGGGAGGGCCGATCCAACCCCGGATCCACTTCGTCGGGCAGCACTCCACGTCAGTCCAGCTGGGCAGCTGGGCAGTGCCGCACAGTGTTTCTGAAAGCTGGCGAAATCGCCAAATGCTGGCGAAATCGGGCCAAAAAACGGCTCTGGCGGGCGATTGGCCGAAGGCCATCGCCAGCCAGGGCTGGCTAAATGAGGGCAGGCGGCGGGGCGACATCGCCAGCGCGTCGCCAGCCCCCATGACTGACATCGCCAATATTTTGAGGAGAAATGGCCAATTTTCCTCAGGAACTTCACTCCATAGTGTTAAACAAGCGCCAGCTTGCTGGGGGCTTCGCCCCCAGTCCCCCAAAAGGGAGGCAAGTGCCGACAAAGCAACAGCGGCGCCGCATGTGGCCGCTGCGCTGTGCCAGGCGCAAGGGTGGCTCCCCCGCATTTCGCCAATCCTCAATGTGCCATCGCCAGCTGATTGGCGAAATTTGGACGCGACAGCAGTCCTCATCGCCCGCCCATCGCCAAAGCTGCCACGAGGGCCAGAAACACTGGTGCCGCAAGAGCAAGCCCGGCTGATCAAAGAGCACTGTGCCATCCCTGCCGATGCGTCACATGCTGGTTCGCACTCTAGGCGCCTCAACATCACCCCACATTGTGGTGAAGTGGTTGCGCCATCCCCGCACCGCCGCACTCGCCTCTGCCCCCGGCAGGGAGCCGCCACCGGGGCGCCTGAATTGCACCTCTCCCTCACGCGGCCTGCCCACCGCGCGCCGCGCAAGCCCTACCACCGCCGCCGCCGCCAGCAGCTCCGCTCCCGTCGCTAACGCCGCCAGTACTATGCCCACCGAGCGGCTGCCTGGCGAGTGGGAGTCCCCCATCACAAGCGAGCTGATCACCTCGGCGGTAAGCCATTCACTCCCCGCACACTGCTACACGGCCCTGGGCTGCCGCGCAACACCTGCCCGTCGCGCCCGCCTGCCACCGGCGGCGCAGCGGCTCCCATATGCCGCGCGCCCCTCCCTCCTGCCTGCTGCCTCCTGCCTGCCGCAGACCAAGCGCCTGGGCGCGCCCAGCTTCGCCCCCAACGGCGACCTCTTTTGGTTGGAGGGCCGGCCGGCGGAGAAGGGGCGGCAGGTGCTGGTGCGGCGGCCCCATGGCGGCGCAGCCGCCGCCGACCTCACGCCCGGCCCCGACAGCGGGCTCAACGTGCGGACGCGGGTGCAGGTGGGAGCGCGAGATCGGGTGGAGTAGCGGGCAGCTTGCCGTGGCCGTGACAGGGCGCGTGGCGCGCGCGCAGCGGCAGGCGAAAGCCGCAGGCCGCAGCCACGCCGCGGCAGGCCCTATGCTCCCCTCTCTCGCATCCCCGCCAAGGGTGCCGGGGCGGCGGCGGCCTGCCTGCCTGCGCTTGTGTGCAGGAGTATGGCGGCGGGAACTACACTCTCACCGACTCTGCCGCCTATTTCTCCAACTTTGGGTGAGGCAGCCAACAGTTGTGCGAGGGGCCTTCGCGCGGGGATCCTTGCGCCGGCCACAGCGTCGGCCACGGCATGCGGAGCGGCGCGGAATCTCTCCTCTGCTGTGGCAGCCGTGCACCTGCTGCATTGCCTTGCTTCGATCCGCGGGGTGCCTCCCAGCTGCCGGCCTCCGACTGTGTGTTAGTTCAGAAGTCCCCGCTGACCGGCTGTGGCGGTTCTCTGCGCCGCCGCCGCCGCAGGGACCAGCGCTTGTATGTGCAGCAGCTGGCGGCGGGAGGCCCGCCGCAGCCGGTCACAGCTGAGGGAAGCAAGCTGCGGTTTGCAGACGGGGAGGTGGATGGCGGCAGGGGCAGGTGCGCGTGGCGGGCAGGTGCTGGTGGCTGCTGCGTGCACGGCAGCACGGCACAGCGCGGCCGGGGGCCGCCGCTGGGCCAGAGCTGCTGCAGGCTGGCCCCCGGCCTGGGGCTGGCCACGACCTTTGGGCCCAGCAGCGTGTGAGGGAGCCGCGGCAGGCCTGCATGCCGGCGCCGCCTGGCAACAAGGGGGCGCGAGGCGAGCGGCGGCACAAGGCAGCGTGCGCCCCCACCCAGCTGCGGGCCCAAGAGGCGGCGCCATGCTGCCACGCACGTTCCTCCTGCGTTGCGTGCTGGAAGGCCACAACGTTTGTGAGGACCGCAGCGCTGCTCGCTTGCGTCATGCCCCTCTGAATGTATGTGAATGCACCGCGCCCGTGTGTGCAGGCTGGTGTGCGTGGTGGAAGACCACAGCGGGGGCGGCGAGGCGGTGACCACGGTCGGCGCTGTGGGTGAGCGTGGCCTGCCGAGCAGAGCGGCAGGTGGTGGGAGGCAGCTGAGCGGCTGCAGGTGCCAGGAGGTAGCTGAGCGGGAGGTAGTGGGAGATAGCAGCATGCTGCAAGGGTCGGCCGGCCGCCATGACAATCGCAACAACCCCGCCAACACCCGCACTCACGAGCCTCCACCAACACCCGCACCCAACCCCGCCGCAGACCTGGCCAGCGGCGCCGTCACCACCCTGGTCAGCGACGCCGACTTCTACGCCTGCCCCCGCCTGAGCCCAGACGGCTCCCGGTGAGCCCGCCCGCTGCCCTACTGCCTCTGCCTGCTGATTGCCGTCTCACGCCTGCTGCTCCCTTGCTTCTGCCTGCCGCTCCCTTGCTTCTGCCTGATGCTCCCTGCCTCCTTCTGCTGCTCCCCCGCCCCCGACTGCTGCTCCCCCGCCTCTGCCTGCTGCCCGACCGGCCAGCTGCCCGCTCCATGCCTGGCCCTGCGGCTGTTCCGCGCTGCTCTTCCTGCGGGGAACGATGCTGGCTGATGTGCCGCCGGCAGCCAGCCCGCACGCCCACGCCGCACCCTTGCCAAGCAACCAGCCAGCTTCCTCTGCCCGCTGCTGTTTAGACACATGCGTGTGTTCTGTCTGTGCAGGCTGGCGTGGGTGGAGTGGACGCATCCCAACATGCCGTGGGACGACACTCAGCTGTGGGTGGCTGACGTGGCGCCAGATGGCACGCTGGCCGGCCACCGCAAGGCGCGCGGGCGTGGCATTGGATGCCAGGGGTTTGGACTGAGCGGGAGGGGGGTCCTCTGCCGTGCGCAGCTGCTCCTGCACTGCCGCCGTCGTGCCAAGCGGCGACTGGGCAGCCGGCGCTGGTGGCAGCCGCTCCGCTCCCATCAGTTTTGCTCATGTTCTTTTCTCTGATGGGAGGATCAGCCGCGCCGGGCGTTGCAGGTGGCGGGAGAGGAGGGGGAGTCTGTGGTGCTCCCGCAGTGGGGCCCCGATGGCTCCCTGTATTTCGTCTCTGGTGCGCCCGCCTGCCTCCTCCGGCCCGCGCGGCCGCCCCCCGGCCCGCCGTCCCAGCGCGCATGCCTCCCGTCCCCTGCCCCCGACCTGCTGCCGCCGCATGAAGGGTGTGGCGCCTGCTTTCCGATCCACAGGGCCATCCCGCGGCCGTAGGGGGGCATCTGGCGAGCCGGCCCCGCACCGCCAGCCAAAGCTGGCTCCTGAGCTGTGCTCCCTCCCCCTGCCTGCAGATGCGCCTGAGGGGTGGTGGAACCTGCATGTGTTGGGCACTGACGGCAAGGTGCGGCTCCTGTACCGCCTTGCTGGCATGCGCCTGGGGGGCTACAAGCCTGGGGCGACGGCCGCCAGGGCCATGCCCCTCCTGGCATCGTTGCATTGCGACCCTCCCAGAGGGGTTGTGCATGATTGTGCTTGTGTGTGTGTGTGTGTGTGTCGGCTGTCCTGGCGGCGGCTGCGCCCGAGCGGCGGCGCTCCTCCCCTGCCTGTGGCCCCGCCCCGCGCAGGTGGCGGCGGTGCTGCTCATGGCTGCCGAGTTTGCTGCACCCATGTGGCAGTTCGGCCAGAGGTGGGTCTGGGGTTATGGATCAAAGGGATGGAGGAAGCTTGAAAAGCTGCCGCCTCACGAGAGAGAGGCCAGCCAGCTGCTGCCATGCTGCTGCCCACATGGCTCGAGCAGACCTGGCCCCTCCTGGGTGCCCCCTCCCCCTTTTTGCAAAGGCACGCATCTTCCCACCCACCCGCATCTCTGCCCTTCCGCGCCCCGCAGGCCCTTCCATGTGCTCAGCAGCGGCCGCATCTTGGCTGTGTATAATGACCCCAAGAAAGCGGGTGGGTGGAGGGCCCAGGGGTGGGCAGGCGGAGGGCCCAGGGCGGGAGCAGGGCACAGTGCCCGGTGTCGCAGCCATCCAGCAGCCCGCAGCAGCCTGCGACGCTTTTTCCGGAAAGGTTCCGACCCGGCGCCCTTCCCCGCCCGCCGCTGCCCCTCGCCTACCCCTGATCGCGGCCACCCTTGAAACAAGCCCCCAGTTCCCACCGGTCCCGCCACCGGTCCCGCCACCTTCCCGCCACCTTCCCCGCACGCCCCATGCAGGCTCCACCCTGGCGCTCATCGACCCCGCCAGCAAGGCGGTACAGGAGCTGGACAGCCCCTTCACCTCCTACGGCACGCCCACCCTGGCTGTGCACGAGGTGAGCGTGCACAGCGTCTGAACCCACTTTCGAGGTGTGGAGATTGTTGGGTTGTTGTTGAGCTGTTGAGATTTGTGAGTTTGTGGCCAAGGCTGCTGCTGCTCCTGCGCCCGCCGCTGCTGCCACGGCTGTGTGGCACGGTAGCTCCAGCGCAGCCCTGCCGCCGGATTGAGTGGGCTGGGATGCCTGAGCGGGCTGGTGGGCACCGCACCGCCTTGAGCCACTCCCAGCCAAGCTGTGGCCATCGCTACCGCCGTGCCGCTGCTGCGTGCAGGGCGCGGGCGGCATACAGGTGGCGGTGGTGGCTGGCAGCGCCCTGCAGCCCCCTGCGGTGGTGCTGCTGGAGGCGGCCAACCTGGAGGAGCTGGCAGCCAGCAAGCCCGAGGACTGGCAGGTGGTGGAGCCATCCACCACCACAGAGGTAGGCCGGGCGCTGCGTGCCTTGCCGCTGCTTGCCTTGCTGCTGCGAGGCAGCTGCCTGCTGCCCTGCCCACCGCCCCACGCAAGCTACGTGCGGCTCCCCTGACTGAGACATGGCCATGTCTATTTCTCCCCCCCCCCCCCCACACACACACACAAATTCACCTCTCTCCTCCCCATCTCTACTCTCCATCTGTCCTCCCCACTTTCCTGCCGCCCTCCTCACCCCCTCCCCGTCCACGTGCGCCCCCGCCGCAGGTGGACCCTGGCTACCTGTCCGAGCCCTCGGCTGTGGAGTTTGCCACAGAGGGCGGCCTCACCGCCTTCATGAACTACTACCCACCCCGCAACAAGGTGGGTGTGCGGTACCAGGGCGGTACCAGGGTGGTACCAGGGCCGTAGGACAGTACCAGGACCGTAGGGCGGTATCAGAGCCGCACCAGTGCAAGCTGGCTAGGAGCCGAACTGGCCTGCTGAGCTGGCACCACGCTTTGGCCACGCTGTGGTCGCACCCACGCTGCGCTCCGTGCCGTGCTGTGCCGTGCTGTGACGCACTGTGGCGTGCTGCGCTGACCTGGCCGCACCTCTGCGCTGCGCTGACGTGGCGCGTGCAGGACTTTGCGCCGCCCCCCGGCGCCCTGCCGCCGCTGCTGGTCAAGATCCACGGAGGGCCCACCTCCCAGGCCAGCACCGCCTTTACCCTTAGCCTGCAGTACTGGACCAGCCGAGGTGTGTGTGGGGCGTGCGTCTGGGGTGCAGGGTGTGCTGGTTTGCTGGAGCGCCGTCTGGCAAAACTGCGGCCCACAACCGGCAGGCCGTGCCGCGACCGACAGGGGCTGGGTTTGCCTGCATTGAGCCTGCGGCCAGGCAGACAGCAAGCTGCGTGTGCTCGAACGGCCAAACAGACACACACACACACAGAGCAGACGTTGCCGTGGCCGGTGCCGCCCAGCTGAGCGCAGGCGCATCCACCAGCGCACCGCCTCGCCCGCTGTGCCCGCCGCGCGTGCTCCCACAGGCTTTGCCGTCGCTGACATCAACTATGGAGGCTCCACGGGTTACGGCCGCGCCTACCGCGCCCGCCTGCGCGGCGCCTGGGGCGTGGTGGATGTCGACGACTGCTGCGCCGCGGCGCGCCACCTGGCGGAGCAGGTGTGCGTGTGTGCGTGTGTGCGTGTGCGTGTGCGTGTGCGTGTGCGTGTGTGTGTGTGTGTGTGCACATAACAGGTTGGGGAGGGGTGGCTGCTGCAGCGCGGCCCGCCACCTGGCCGCGCAGGCACGTGCTGTGTGTGTGTGTTGAGGGGGTGGGCTGCTGCCAGGTAGCAAAGCAGTCGGGGAGGGTAGCAAACGTTTTGAGCTTATTGATGATGGCCAGGCCAGGCTGCCCCAAGCGGCTGCCATCAGGCTGCGCGGCTGGCTGGCTGGAGGCACTGGCTGGCTGGCTGGCCAACCGCCGCTCTCCCTCCCGCCCTCGCCTCTGCGCCCACCGTCACTCTCCCTCCCGCCCCCGCCTCTGCGCCCACCGCCGCCGCAGGGCAAGGTGGACCCCCAGCGCCTCTGCATCGACGGCGGCAGCGCGGGCGGCTACACAACGCTGGCATGCCTGGCCTTCAGGTGGGGAGTCGGGCCCCAGGGAGGGTCTGCCGCGAGTTGCATGGCTGTCGGCGGTCTGGGGCAGCCTACGCAGCCTACGCGCCACGGCTGCCTGCCTTGTGCCTGTGTCAGCGGCCGCCTGGCTTCCAGCCCCGCCTGTGCCGTCCTACGGAGCCCTTCTGCCCTTCTGCCCGCCAGACGCCGCCGCTTGCTGAGCCTGTCGTGACCCTCCCCTGCCGTCTGCCTGCCCGTCATGCAGGGACGTCTTCTCGGCAGGTGCCTCACACTATGGGGTGGCCGACATGGGGCTGCTGGCACAGGTACTGCCGCTGTTGATGTATTGCTGCTGTGCCGCTGCTGCTGTACCGCTGCTGCTGTACCGCCTGGTGTGCTGCCGGGCCTGGTGTGCTGCCTGTGGGCACACTTCCCAGCGCACCGCCTCCCTGCCTGCTTTCTTCCCGCCTGCTTCTTCCCTGCCGCAGGACACGCACAAGTTTGAGTCGCGCTACCTTGACGGCCTGGTGGGGCCCTACCCAGAGGTTAGGCGGGTGGCTGGGTGGCTGGCTGGCTGGGTGGTGAATGGCTGGCTTAACTGCCTGACTGGCTGGCTGGTTGGCCGGCTGGCTGGCCTGCTGGGGTCTTTTGCTGGCTGGCTGGCTGGAGGCGCAGTTGCTGGTGGCGTGCTGGTGGCGGCCTGATGGTCGGCCCCGCCTGCGGCGCTGGCTGGGCTTCTGGGGGTGCTGCAATCTGCCATGCATGGGGCTGGCACGGGGCAGGCGCACGCTGCCGGGCTCCAAGGCCCCCCGGGCCTGCTGGTGCTTGTGAGAAGACGCCACCCAATCCACCCAACAGCCACCCACCCAACCGCCGCCGCCGCGGGGCCTGCAGGCCAAGGCTGTGTATGATGCGCGCAGCCCCATCAACGCCCTGGACGGCTTCACCCGCCCCGTGGCCTTCTTCCAGGTGCGGCCGGGTGTGGTGCGGTGTGTGTGGAGCGCTGTGTGTGGAGCTGTGGCCGTGCTAGCTGCTCGCCCTGCCAGCGTCCTCCCACCCACCCCTTCGTTTCTGCTGCCCTCCCCGGGCGGCTGCAGGGCCTAGAGGACAAGATCGTGCCTCCCAACCAGGCGCAGGTGCAGTTGTTTTGCGTGTACTCTGCCCAGCCCAGCCCAGCCCAGCTGCCACAGCTGTTGCAGCTGGGCCCCGTCACACGCCCAGGGAGGCTCTAGTGCAGGGCTGGAACATGCGTCCAGAGTCGCGTGTTTCCAGGGAGGGACAGGCTCGCGCTGCGGCCGACGAGGCGCGTGTGCCTGACTTCTGCCCCCTGCCTCCCTCCCTCCCTGCAGGTGATGTACGATGCCCTCAAGGCGCGAGGCATCCGTACCGCACTCGTGATGTTCGAGGGGGAGCAGCACGGCTTCCGCCAGGCGCCCAACATCAGGTGGGGAGGCGGGGGGCGCCCCCGCCGCCCGCCTGCGACTAAGAACCCCGCCTGCACGCCAGGCCCGGCTGCGGCCCAGCCCTGCCGAACACCCGCAGCCAGCCGACGAATGCCAGCCGCGCCGCAGCCGTGTGCCCCGCGTGCGTCATCCGCTGGTCGCCGCCAGCGGAAGCTTGCAGTTCGACTCTGCAGTGCCACTCTGTACTGTACTGGGTGCCACGCGCTGCCCCCGTGCCTGCAGGCGGGCGCTGGATGGGGAGCTGTTCTTCTACGGCGCGGCGCTGGGCTTCAGCCCGCCCATGCCACCAGACTTTCAACCCATCGACATCGCCAACGCCGCTCCGGGGCAGTAGCGGCTGGGCTGCAGCGTGGCAGGGCGGCAGCGGCCAGGCTACAGCTGGGGCGTAGAGGCTGGCCTGCGATGCGTTCTGATCGTTGTTGTCCTCGTGGTTTGGAGCTGAATAAACAGTCTGCCAGGCAAATCATCTGATTCAAACAGGGCTGCACTCAATGAAAGAGAAGCTGTGGCTGTTCACCTGCCGCCGCTGCTGCTGCCAGCGCCGGTGCTGCGCGCCGCCAGGTGCGAGCATTGCTGCTTGTGGCCGCCCTTCTTCCAGTGTTGCACCTGGCAGGCGCGGCCGCAATAGGCCACCGTGCGGCAGCCGCTGCACTTCCTCAGGCTGCTGCACTGCTCCCCGCAGCCGCTGCATCTGGGCAGGAAGGTGGGCCGCTGCTCCACAGGGGAGCGCCCAATGCTGGTAGCATCGCCCTCCCAGGACTGCCAGCCACTGCCTCGTCCAAATGCCGCTGGCTGTCAGCAATGCTGCCCTTGAGCCAAGCATGGATGCTGGCTGGCATCCAGGGCTTGCAGCGGGTCAGCACGGCCCCGCCAACCGCAAGCAGCCCGCGCACCTCGTCTACAGACCAGCGAGGGCCGAAGGCACCAGAGATGAGGAAACGAAGCAGACTGACAACTGCCCCCCCTCCACTATGTGAGCTGCACCAGGGCGCATGCGCGGCAGCAGACGGACCGTCAGGTGTGGGGTACAGAGGGGGCGGATACATGCACTTCCGCCCTGCAACACTCACCCTTGTGCTGTTGAGCGACGCTCAGCGCCGAACGATAGGCGGCCTTGACATCAACGCGTCTGGGAATGTCCATGAGCGCCAGCATGTGGCCACGCTTGTGTGCAGGAGGGCGGCGGCGCTGGGGTCCAGCTTGGCAAGCTGGGCGTTGGCAGCCATGGCTGCTGCCAGGATCTGGCGTGCCTCAGGCTCATCGCCCTCCAGGTCACGCACGGCATCCTGCTGTATATACAGGCGCAAAATCCGCAGATCCGCTGCGGTCAGCACAGGGGCAAAGCCGGCGCTGCGCTGGGCCTGCTCCAGAGCCGCTGCCAGGGAGGTATAGGCGGGATTTGAGGTAATGCTGACAGCTTCTTCCACCCAGAGTGCAAGCTGGCTGATGGACATCCTGGGGGCGTCAAGGCTGACCATAGGCGGGTACCACGCCAAACAGCAGATTCCAGGGCATTGGTAACGACTTGATCTCAGGATCGTCGCACTGCATCGCACCACCACAATGGCTTGAAATTGTGCCCTATACAGCAGTGCAATGGCATTTATGCAGCCAAGCACCAGGCCCCAGGCATGCTCACTACATCATAGATGGAATCGATGCACTCCGGCCGGAACGCAAGCGCCGAAAGCCCCAAACGCTGGAAGGCGAGCGCCTGCTGCGTCACCACGACAAAGCCCTGCAGCTTCTCCTGCGCGGTCAGTCCCCGCCGCCGCTGGCCGCTGCCATCCAAAAAGGTGCGGTGCAGCCATACCGTCAGATCCATGCCCTCCACAAACAGCTGCAGCAGGCAAGGGGCAGGGAGGTTGGCTGCGGGCGTGACCGGGCAGCGCGCTGGGGCCGAGAGGCGCGGCAGGCGGCGGGCCGGCGTGCCTGCAGGTCCCGGCTGCCTCGGTGCTCCTCAGACTCCTGCAGCAGCCTGCAGCCCCTCTCCACCCTCTCCCGCACAAACTCGCTGAGCTCCCACGGCATGGCGGCTGCTGCTGCTCTGTCGAGCACTGGTGCCTGTCGTGCAACCCCCTGAAACTTCAATCGAATGGCACGAATGGCCCAAGGGTTTCCTCCTCAAACCGGGGGTGAGCGCCAGCTGGCGCCTGGTGCTTCCCTTGGACGATGCAAAACATCAAAACCTTACAGAGCCACTTTGATTCATCGACCAATCCGCTTCAGGCGACTGCACTGCAAGCTGCCAGGCGCTGCCGTGCCGCCGCCGCCGCCTTCCGCTCTGCCGCGTGCCGCCCGCCTCGGCCGCCGCCGCCCACCTCAGCCGCCGCTGTGGCTGACCGGCTCCGTGACCCACCTGCCGCCGCGGTAGCGGCTCACAAACTGCTCCGGGATGGCACTCTCCACAGGGTCTGCCTCCTCTGCAGGCAGGCGGGGCAGGCAGGGAAAGGCAGGGGGCAGAGGGCAGGCAGTTGAGGTGGAGGTGGGCAGGCAGGCACGTGAGGTGGGCATGAGGCGCAGGAGGGCAGAATTCGGGAGCTGCACTGTCTGCCTGCGGCCGTGGGAGCTCGGGCGCAGGCCAGCAGGCAGGCAGCGCCAGCGCCTCGTGGCGCCGAGCAGCCCGGCAGCAGCGCCTCGCGGCACCGAGCAGCCAGGGAGCGAGCAGGCAGGCAGGCAGGCGGCAGCAGGCAGGTGGGCAGGGCTGCCCACCGCTGGCTCCGGGCACCACCACGTTGACCTCAGACGACTTAGCGGTGGTGATGTCGGTGACCTCCAGGGAGCCGCGCGGCAGGTAGAGCTGCGGTGTGTGTGTGTGTGTGGGGTGTGGGGTGGAGCTGGGGTAGTGGTAACATAGTATGACATCTTTTGTTTGTTTTATCGATGATAGTTTGACTATTGATGATGTCTGTTGCATGCGGGTGGGCTCCAGCGCCGCGCACGGCAGGCAGAGCTGTGTGTGGGTGTGTGGGTGTGCAGGGGCCCATGGCGGGAAGGTAGAGGTGTGCAAAGGAAGGCCACGTGCTGTGTGCATTCGTGTGCCTGCCTGTCTCCCAGTAGCTGCGCGCACGACATTCGCAACACTCCCGCCCGCCTGCCGCCACCCACCCACCTGGCAGCCGTCGCACTTGTCTACCGCCACCGTGGGCACCGCCCCCGTGCACTGCACCTCCACGCTGCTGCTGTTCACCAGCTCAACCGTAGCAACCACTGCACAGGGGGGGGTGCAGGAAGAAGGCAGGTGGAGGCCGGCAGGCAGCGAGTCAGGCAGGGAGTCGGGCAGGCACGGAGAGGCAGGTAGGCACACGGCAGGCGGGTCACCAGGCAAACAGTGTACACATCAAGACAGCAGGAGCCTGGCGCTCCACAGGCCCACCACCACCCACCCAGCCACCCAGCCAGCAACACACACCCAGCCTCTCACGTGCCCCCGCTTGCCTGTGTCAAAGAGCAGCCCTGTGCGGCTGCACTTGTCCATCGTGATGGCATTCACCTTGCCCCGCACCTGCAGCCGGCGGCGGCGGCGCCAGGCGCAGAGGGCGGTGTGAGAGGGGGTGGGCGGCGGCAGCAGGTGGTGCGGGCGGCAGGGAGGTGGCGGGCCCGGTCGGCAGGAGGCCATAACCCCTGCTACACCGCTGCTGCTGCTGCAGCCTGCCAATGCTCTTCCCTTCCCTTCCCTTCCCATCCCATCCCTGCCCACCCCCCCCACCACCACACTACACACGCCCCCCACACAGGCGCCCAGGCTCCTGGCCCTGCCGCGGGTCGGCGCCTCCCCTCCTTGCCTGGATGGTGCTGCCGCTGCAGTTGTAGATGTACACCACCTGCTTAGGCTGCATCTGCTCAATCACAATCTCCCGGTTGCCCACCTGCGGGAAAGCCAGGTTCCAGGGCAGGCGGCGGCAGGCGCAGGGCAGGCAGCAAGATGAGGGCAGGCGATGGAGCTCTTGGATGGGAACCTGAAGCCCTGCTGCATCGAGCAGCACAGACTCCCCACCGATCTCCAGCATGCCTGCTTCGCGCCGCCTTACAAAAGGCGACGAGGACTGCTGCAGGAGTGGCAGGCCTGCAGCAGCGGCCGCACCTGGTTCTCAACCACCCACTTGCGCCCCTGCTCGCACTCGAGCCGCGGCGGCCCCGCAGCCGCAGCCGCCTTGGGCTTGACCGCCACGGCCGCCGCGCCGGCGGCAGCGGCCGCTGCCGGCACAGCGCCGGCCCGGTCTGCCCGGTTCTTGGTCTTCATGTCGGCTGCAAGGAGAGGCAGGATGAGCAGGCGGGCCAGCTGCTGAGCACATGGCAGTGGCTGCACGACTCCCCACAGCAGGCAACTCCGGCCAGCGGCACGCCCCTGGCAGCAGCATCTGCCCCCACACGCGCGGAATGCAGGGTGCAGGGTGCAGGCAGCAGGCATGGGGTTGCCAGTACCGCACCCACCTGTCACCTTCCTCAGCCCAGAGGTAACTGAGGAGCCTTTGCTGATGTCAGCAAACAGCGCCGCCATGGGGTTGCCGCCAGCGCCGCCAGCTGGCGCCGCCGCCGCCGCCGCGGCCGCTTTGTTCGCCGCGATGCTGCCAGGCGGCGGCGGCGGCGGCGGCGGCGGCGGGGGGCCGGCAGCCTTCTTGGCCGCCGCTGGAGCTGCGGCCGCTCCTGCTGCGGCTCCTGCTGCTGCTGCTGCTGCTGCTGCGCCACCTGCTGCCGCTGCAGCAGGCGCAAACTGGGAGGCGGGGATGCCCGCGGCATTCCACTGAGGGCCGGCGGGGAAGTTACGGGCACAGAAGGCCTGCAGGCACGGCGGTGGGGAGTCAGGCTCCGCACCGGTCCACCAGCGGCAGCCATGCCCCTGGCCGGTTTGCGCGGCATGCAGCACCCCAGCGCAGCCCGGTGCTTGCGGCGCATCACGACCGGCTGCCAGCTGGCTCCGCCCTGCCCTGCCCTGCGTGCCTTGAGGCCTCCGAGCAGCTCCTTCACAGCTTGCACCCAAGCGGCATGCCCTGGGTCCCTGGAGCGCCACTCCATCAACACCTACAGGCGGGCAGGCAGCGGGCAAAGAGCGGTGGAAAGGCAGCGATTCGCGGGAAGAAGAGGGCAGCTAACAAAATGTGCAAAGGGTGTGGGGAGGAAGGCGGAGCAAACAGCCATCCAGTGCTGCGCCACCAGAGCGGCACCCGGTCGCCAGCAGCGCCGCCCAAACTCAAACTCGTGCTGCGCATGCTTTGCTGCCGAGCCGCAGCAACAAGGCGCCCGCACCGCCCACCTTGTTTGCGTAAAAGTCTGCCGCTGACAGCGCGTCCTCCACGTGCTGAGGTGGCAGGTGGATGCCTGCATGGCAACCACAGCACGCTCAGCAGGCAGGCATGCGGCACGGCATCCAGCTGGCCGACACGCAAGCGCCACAGGGATGCAGGCGACACTGCCGGTGCTGCAGCGGGGGCAGGCAGCGCAGGCAGGCGGTACAGGCAGCGCGGGCGGCTGGCCAAAACGACGCTGCAAGGCGCACCGCAGTTGGGCCCCGTGTAGGCCACCCAGCTCAGCGCCTGCATCGCCTCCGACACCAGCTTGTAGTGGTTTTGGTAGGGGCTGCGGCATTAGTTCGAGGGTCAGGCGGAAGTGGGGGTGAGGGCCGCTTGCGTGCCCCCAGCCATGCCAGCAGCCATGCCAGCAGCCATGCCAGCAGCCATGCCTGCTCAAAGAGGTGGCACCGCCACAGGCGCGCTCAAGGAACCACCGCTGCGACTCCAGCCCCCTCCTCTCCCACCTGCGCGGCCCGGATGCCAGGTCCCCGGCGGCCACCATCTGCTCGCCCACCGGCTGCAGCAGCTGCTGCAGCTCGCCGTTATCCGGCTTCTGCAGCCGGGTGGGTGCCCATCCGGGCAGTGGAATGCAGTCAGTCACCCAGTCGCGACTGCCTCCCAGCAACCATGGCCAGCCAAACAGTAGCCCGCGTGCATGCGCTGCTTGCCTGTGCCACTGATCAGCGGGGAGGCGGAGCAGTACAGGCGGCAAACGCACCTTGCACACGCCCATCGCCTCGATCACCGCCGCCTCGCGCTGAAAGCCTTCGACCAGGATGTGGGTGGCTTCCAGCACCTGGCCACCCACTCCCTCTGCCGCAGCCGCCGCCTTGGCCAGCTGGGTGCTCAGCAGCTGGCGGTAGTCGGCTAGCGCGGCGCCAGGCCCAGCGGCGGCGGCAGGCAGGGCGGCGGCGGGCGCCCCCGGGGCTGCCGCGGTGGGGCGGGGCGTGAAGGAGCTGGTGCCAGTGGGCACGATGGAGGCGAGCCGGGCCTACAGAAAGGGGGAGAACACTCCACTGAACACACCTGCAACTGATCGCCGTCGATGTCCGCGCCTGCCGACCCCCAGCTGCGATCGCGAATGCCCCTACCTCTGTTTCCTCCAGGCGGGAGGTGATGCTCTCCAGCCTGCTGACTGCCGCCTCCAGCATTGGGCCTCTCCTGCTCGTTGCTGCTGCTGCCGTGGGCCTGAGAGGTTTGTAGCGAGGTGTGGGGCGGGGGAAGTGGAGTGGAATGCTAGGCGCGCTGCCCAGCTTCATTGAAATGCCCCTCAACTGTCGCCGAGCCGCTCCCAGCTGTGCCACAGGGCTGGGTCCTGTCGGGAGTCTCTGCACAAGCAACGGGCGATTGCTGAACGGCACGCGATGCAGCTGCAAGCAGAAAGCTACTGTACTGGTCAGGTGCCGCTTCGGTTGCCTGCGCCACCTGTCGCCGCCGACAGGTGCACGGCCGCTTCAGGCATGATCAATCGCCGTTATTAGATGGGGCGCTATTGACAGTGAGATGAAGCACATGAAACCATGTGCTGTTGGGCAGCAAGCTTAACAGAAACGCAGCGTTTGGCGCAAGGTGTGCGGCAGCGGCGGCAGCGCAACCCCGACTGTCACGGCCTGTGGGCCTGCTGTCGCTGTGATGAGTGTTGTGATGAGAGAAATAGCCAGTCTCTTAACATAAGAGGTAGCAATGAAGAGAGATCAACGGCAAGGCGCAGGCTTCAGGCGGCGGCCGCTCGCAGCATGGCAGAGCGTGTGCTGCCCAGCCAGGATTCTCGCATGGGTTGCAACCAACGGAACACATCGCTATCCATTCTGCGTCGTCTCTGCCATCATCGCAGATCCTTCAGGAGGGGTGGGTGCGGCATTGCGGGCATGACCTCAAAGGTTGTCTCGCTGCTGCCGTCGGCGACCGAAATCGTTCAGCTTGTCGTCGATCAATGTGACGATGGGGCCGCCCCGGAGCTGGTGGGCAGGAGCCACGAGTGCGACTACCCCCCGGGCTTGGAGCACCTGCCGCCGCTCACCGCCGCCAAGACGCGGTGGACCGACTCGGCTGACGTGGACCGGCAGGTCCGGGCAGCGCTGGCCTCTGGCGCCGGCCTCTACACGGTCGACCGCGAGCAGCTGCAGCAGCTGCGGCCGGACACCATCATCACACAGGTGGGGCGGGTAGCGGTGGCGTGGCTCCAGCAGCCGACTGCCGCAGCCCAGAACGTGCATGCCCAGCATGTCTCGCAGCCCCTCTCACATATCTCTACTGCCTCACATGCCCATAACCTCCCCCGCATGTCCGCCTGCACTGGCAGTCGCTGTGCAGCGTGTGCAGCGTTGACTTCTGCATGGTGGAAAGCATCGCCGCCGGCATCGAGCCGCCGCCGGCCATCATCAACCTCAACCCCGCCAACCTGCAAGAGGTGCTGGCTGACGTGGAGCGGGTGGGCGCCGAGCTGGGCCAGCCCGCGGCGGGGGCGGCGGCCGCCGCGCAGCTGCGGGCGCGGGTGGACGCCGCGCTGGCGCAGGTACCGGCTGCGGCTGGGGAAGCTAGTGGGGCAGGGGGGGGGCCAGCTCCCAGCGTGGCCTTTCTTGAGTGGGTGGCCCCCATCTTTGTGGGCGGCCACTGGACGCCGCAGCTGATCCACATGGCTGGCGGCCGCCACCCGCTGAACCCGCCCAAGTGAGTGGCCCCTCCACGGCTCCGGCTCTCGGCGGCGGCGGCTGCTGGCCTGGCCCTGCTGGCCTTCTGGCCTGCCGATGCCCCTGCACTCGCCCGGCCAGCATCTGTGCTGGTGCCTGTGCCTGCTTGCTGCCACAGCCCCTGGTACCATGCCCGCTGGCGCCCCGACACGCAGGGAGGGCGGCGGCGCGGGCAAGTCGTTTGTGGCCACGCCGCAGCAGGTGGCGGGCAGCGGCGCAGACTGGGTGGTGGTGGCGCCTTGCGGCCTGGACCTGGCCACCACATGCAAGGAGGTGGAGACGTCCCTGGCTGGGGAGCCATGGTGGTGAGCGAGCGGCGACGCCGTGGGTGGGGACACGTCCTGATGTGCAAGGCCTGCTCCTGCTGGCGTCCTCCCCCACAGTGGCCCGCCGCCCGGCCAAGTGTTCGCTCGGTTGCCGCAGGCGGGAGCTGGCGGCGGTCCAGGCGGGGCGTGTGGTGCTGGTGGACGGCAATGCCATGTTCAACCGCCCGGTGAGCTCCTGGGGCCGACCTGCCTACCTGTGTCCTGCCTGCCTGGATTCGCAATGCTCATTCGAACACACATATCCGCTGCCCAGGCCTGACCGCCGCCTCCCTGGACCTGCCTCATGCGTGATCAGATCCACCCTTCACGTGTGCACAGGGGCCCCGCCTGGTGGATGCTCTCGAGTTCCTGGTGGGCCTGCTGCACGGCAAGCCAGAACTTATCCCCGCAGGCTTCCCGTACGAGCGCTGGCAGCTGGCGGCGGCCGCTCCCGCAACATAGACCGGCGGCGCGGTGGCGCCGGCGCCCCGACAGCTCACGCCCTTGTCTGCTGCTCCACCCCGCTGCTCCGGCCTGCCGAGTCCCAGCACCCTTCCTCCCTGCGCACGCTTGTGGCAGGCGGCGGCAGCGCCTCCCGCCCCATGCCGCCAGCAGCCACTGCAGCGCTCGATGCTGCGCGCGCTGAAACAGCCACTATGCGACATGTGAAAGCCGCTGAGTGGGCAGCAGCACAGCGAAACACGGGACGACTTGGCGATGGCCCAGAGGGCGTGTCCAAGGCGCTCAAGGCGCTTTCAGAGGCCTTCCAGGTGTCCCTGAGCCCGTTGATGAAGGGAGAACGAATGAACACGCCTTCCGGCGGGAGCATTCAAATGGAGTGGTGGATGTGCTCCAGCTGGTGCCACTCCACGGGGGGCCCACTGCAGTACCCTCCAGGTGGCGCGATCTCTCAGGCCGGTTGATAGTAAACCAAGAGCTGGGGTCGCACAAGCGCCTTAAAAAGCGCCTTCAAAAGCCACCATGTTCACAGCAAGCAACAACAAACACACTGCCACCCCTGCGGGGGCTGCGCTGCTGCTTGCGGCCGCCCTGCTGCTGGCCCAGGCGACCCCAGGCAAGCTGCGACGCGGAATTGGGCCTGCTCCGCCGCCAGCTGCTGCCGCGGCCGCCGCCCCAACCGGTCACGTGTGCTCACCAGTGGGGGTGCTGGTACGAGACTGCAGGGATGGCCCGCTACTGCCCCTCCGACTCCATCTACGTCGGCTTAGAGGGTCAGCTGACTGGGCTCGAGCACGACGTGAGTGAGGTCGCCGTGCCAGCTGCAGCGGCCGCCTGCCGCACACCGCTCTTGCGCGCCCCACCTCCTCCCGCCCGCCCAGCTGGCACCGCTGTTGCCCTGACCAGTGTTTCTGAAAGCTGGCGAAATCGCCAAATGCTGGCGAAATCGGGCCAAAAAACGGCTCTGGCTGGCGATTGGCCGAAGGCCATCGCCAGCCAGGGCTGGCTAAATGAGGGCAGGCGGCGGGGCGACATCGCCAGCGCGTCGCCAGCCCCCATGACTGACATCGCCAATATTTTGAGGAGAAATGGCCAATTTTCCTCAGGAACTTCACTCCATAGTGTTAAACAAGCGCCAGCTTGCTGGGGGCTTCGCCCCCAGTCCCCCAAAAGGGAGGCAAGTGCCGACAAAGCAACAGCGGCGCCGCATGTGGCCGCTGCGCTGTGCCAGGCGCAAGGGTGGCTCCCCCGCATTTCGCCAATCCTCAATGTGCCATCGCCAGCTGATAGGCGAAATTTGGACGCGACAGCAGTCCTCATCGCCCGCCCATCGCCAAAGCTGCCACAAGGGCCAGAAACACTGGCCCTGGCCCTGACTCTGCACGCTTGCCTCGCTGCAGCCCCCAGAACACTTTCTCACCACACACACTTAGGACTGCATGCAACCCAACACATAAGCGCTTCCCGCCAACTGCTGACTCCACACATCCCAGCTCCTCACCGCCCTCTCGCTGCCCCTGCCGCCCGCCACCATGCCCTGCCGCCCGCCACCACGCCCGCAGGTCAGTGGCAGGGTGCGCATCGTGAATGACTGCACTTTTGAGGTCTCCGGCTTCACCTACGACGGCCAGGGCTCCGATGTGTATTGGTGGGGCGCCTTTTCGACCGCCTACAACGACATCCGCTCGGAGGGCTTCCGCATCGTGCCGGAGCAAGTGACCCGCAGCTACCACGGAGAGACGGTGGGTGGGATGAGTGCATGCACATGCAGGTGGTTGCTGCCGGCGTGTGTAGGAAGGCGCTGCGGGCTTCCACCGCTGGGTCTTGGTGTTTGGGGGGGCCCTCAGCGGTGGCGACGTGTACGCCAACACCTGCCGCTGACCCCGCCTGCCCCGGGCCGCCGCTCGCCCGCCGTTTGCCTCGCTGCCTTTCCCGGCCGCAGGTCAACTTCACGATGTGCCACGGCCTCGAGGTCGACGATTTCTCGGTCATCAGCCTGTGGAGCGAGGACTGGGCAGTCGACTTTGGGCATGCCACATGGAGCTGAAACAAAACTGACGGTTAAACCCGTTCTAGCAAATGACCGCTCAGGTCCCCGGCTTGGCGCAACAGCCGAGGAAGAAGATCACAAATGCGCCACACAAAACAAGAAGAGAGATTGTCACTGCAAGGCAGCGCATGGAACATGACAAGCAAACCCGCCAAAACATTGTGTCACTGCCCCCAAAGTTGAATGTGTGTCTCTAGCGGAGAAACTCCGGGGGTCAAGCCGAGAACCAGCAGTTCATGTACTGAAGATTTTTGGAGTGTAAGGGGACTAACGGCATTTAAGGCACTCGGTGCCTGGCTAGCTTCGGTGCCGTCTGCTGCCGGCGCAGGGGCATCGGTGGGCTGGCCTGGGACAAAGTGCTGGCTTGAGCTGCCAAGCGCCAAGCGCGGCCGGGCACGCCGCTGCACGCCATTGGCGAGCCCATAAATGGGTGGTTGCCGTGCACATCGGTGGGCACCCATCCCGAGGGGGCTGAGCACCAGCGGTCGACCGACGTCGCCGTCAGGAGCGCACCGCAGCGGCCCGACTCTCCATGGGGTCCGCCCTGGTGCCGCCAGCCGCACACGCCAGCGGTGGCAGCAGCTGCAGCTGCAGCCCGGCTGCGAGCGCCCCTGGCCCCGCGGCCTAAGCTGCCCCCGCCCCCACCAGCACTAGCAGCGGCGGCGGCGGCCCCAACATTCCCCAGATGGGGCGCTGTGGCCGCATGTGCGTTGGGGAGTGGTGGTAGCCTGCGAGTGCAGCGAGCGCGGTGCCTCTCTGCCTCCCTGCTTCTGCATCGTGGGCACAACTGCACTTCTCAAGCCCCTGGCAGGCCAAGGCAGCACTACTCGAGCTTCTGCGCAGCAGCATGCTCCCAGCAGCGCTGCCTGAAACCCTGCCCTGCCACCTCCGGCTGGCTGCCTGCAGGCAAGGCGCACTCTGTGACGGGGCCGCCACGCCAGCACCGCAGCCTTCCAGCGGCACCTACCCACAACCAGGCAGGGCCTCACATTCACCAGACAAATGTGGCCTCCTCGTTCCGCTCCTGCCTTGCGGTCAGCGCCGCCGCACTGCTGCTGGTCACGGGCAGGCCCTGATGAATCACGCCGCTGGCCCTGTGCACGTCGTGTGGATGAGGCGCCAGCACGCAGTCGGCTGTCAGCCCTGCATCTGGTGCAGCTGAGCGGGCGGGCGGCGGACTGCGCGATGGCGCCTGATACACACGATGTGCACCAGGCCAGCGGTACAACAGACCAGGACCTGATGGTGATGCTGGGCAGTGCGGCGGCGCTGACCGCAGGGCATGAGCGAAGCGAGGGTGACCACATCTGTGTGGTGGGGTTAGGCCCTGCCTCGCTTTCCACGGCGGTGCTGACGTGGCGGCCCAGGTTGCTGGCCTGCATGCCAGGCAGCTGCCACTCGGCCTGCCTGCCTAAACGGCACGCCGGCAGTCGTCCGTGCAAGGGCATGATCGTCTCTGATCGTGCCCCCTCGTCTCCCCACCATGGACAGCCTGTTTGCGCTGCGCCTGCTGGTGCCGGCAGCGAGCACGGATGCCGAGGCGGCGCAGCACGCCTGGCAGCAGCTGCAGCCGACGATGCGGGAAGCAGCCTCGCTTGGCGTCTTGCTGGCCGCCGCGGCCGAGGTGGGCCTGCTGGGTGGCGGCAGGCTGCTGCTGCAGCTGCGCGAGTGCGAGGGCGGCGGCCAGCACATTGCGACTGACCCACGCATCGACCGCCTGCTGGGCAGCCGATCCGGGGCCAAGGTGGTGAGTCGATGCTGCATGTGTGTGGCTGTGGCTGTGTGTGCGCGTGCAGGGGTTTGTGGCTGCCTGCCACTTCTAACCCGCCCACCCACCCGCACCCACGCTGCAGCACACAAGCTTTCTGAGTGTGTAGGCGGTGCTGCAGCTGTACAACATCACCACCAGCTCAATGTACCTGGTCGGCTCTAACCTGAAGCTGCGCACGGCAGCCGCCGGCG